AAACTATCTCATTGTCATGACCAACCACAAAATTTAGAGGGAAAAGTGGCCAAGGTGATTACTCATACGCCAGCGTTGCCATATCTTTGCACATACCGCCTTCCTTTTTCCATTTGGATCTTCCTCTTCCATAAACGAAGAAAATATCCACTTCCTGTCCTCCCAAATCCTATCCGGCTATTCCTAACATAGATCTTCTGCTCTTTGTCTTCTCTTTTTTCTCTTCTACACTCGATGCCTTTACCGTCCGACAAAACATAACTCCTATTTTCTGATAAGGTTTGCTGTATACGCATGCACTACTTTAGTTTGGCCCTCTCCTCAACTCAAGTCCACCACTGAAATATGACTCACCAAAACTCCATTAACAAAGCCGGAACACCGAAATCCCTACACGTGCCCTTCGCAAGGCACCCGTTATCTAGTGATGGCAATTTGAATCGGCCTCATCAGGTATTAATCCAATCTGATTTTAACGGGGACGAATAATACCTGATTTGTAGTAGTGTGGGCATGACATGAGTATTACTTCAGATCTTTTATATTCATTTGTCCCAAATATTTCTCTATTTTGACCTATCTTTACTCATATTTTCACTCAATGATACTTTAGATATGTGCAAGACTTTATCGTCCAACTTATTGGACTCAATTAGTTTACATATTATCTCTATGACTAATTTATTTTATTTTATCATTAAAAAATAATCTTTTCTTCAAATAATATATAAGAATGGATCGACCTGCCTCCACCTGTACCCGCATGAAGAATACCCGATCTGACTAGCGCTTGATAAGGACGGATATGGCTATTGAGGTACCCGCCCAACCTAGTCTATTGCCATCACTACCTTCACCCCATGTGTCCTTGTGGAGCTGTAAAGCCATATCCATGGACGGCAAAACTCTTTGAGAGGTCCCCTCCATGAAAAGAAAAACGATATGTAGTTCAGTACTGGTACTAGTCCATCAAAACGCACTTACTAGCTAGCTAGCTGGTTTTCCATCATCACTAACCAATCGATGTCCATAACCTTAAAAATCAAAACAATCACGAAATGTGCTCGTGAAAGGCAAATGCGAACCCACATTCGTCTTGCTTCTTCTCATTGCGTACCCGAAAACTATGCCAAAGGGAAAGTGGCCGGTGATCAGCATTTGAGTTTTAAAGTTGGGATAGTGACAGTCACTTTGGTGTAGGGATTTGCACCCGATTGATTGAGGTCACTGTTGACTCTTTTCTGGTGCTAGAGATGTTGTGTTCTCCTTAATTAGTATACCTTATAGACACATCGATATATAGTGTGTTATAACCGAAGTTGATAATTAGCATGTGTTGACACGCGCTCTAATATAGGAATAGAAACTAGCGAGTCCCAGTCTTTGATTCTCGAACATTTTAGTCTGGACCTCTAAATATTAGATCATAGGATTAATTCACTAATACAGATAAAACTAAAACAAAATTCCTAAACTACCACACTTTTAAAAAAATAATTCCCAAAATAACTAAGTTTGGAGTGTTCGAGTTTGTGAACTCGAACTACTAACTGTTCGAGTTAGGAGACTCTCTAGTCCTAGATCGATGATATAAGCCTCGAACCATGTGGAGCTGAACTCGAACCACTCCTTTGAAATTTCCAACAACCTTAACTTTGTGCTCGGTTATCCGATCGTAGCAAAAAAATTTCATTTCGCATAACTTTTCGAGGACTACAACTTTTATAATAGAAATATTTTCAGAATATATGTGAAAATGTGAAAAAATAAAGTTAAATATACTCTCAAACCACCTTATATTAAAAACTATTCCTATTTTGAAAATTTATTCCTAGTAAATGTTGTAGTACTCAAAATTATGCAAAACAAAAAAAAACTTTGCGACGTTCGGATTGCGGAGCACAAAGTTATGATCCTCCAAAGTTCGACATATTCGAAAATTTGTCTCGTTTATGGGTAGCAAATTATGTTTTCTAGGAAGATAGCGATCCAAAAATTCCTCGTTTGGAAAAATATTTCTCTTTTGGCAGAAATTCCCTATATATAAAAAAATTTCCCGTGCCTTCGCCCCGAGAAAATGTCATTTGTTACCGCTAAACAAGCAATTTTTCGATTTTGCCAAACTTAGAGGATCATAACTTTGTGCTCTGCAATCCGAATGTCGCAAAGTTTTTTTTTATTTTGCATAATTTTTTGAGTACTACAACATTTACTAGGAATAAATTTTCAAAATAGGAACAATTTTTAATATAAGGTGGTTTGGGAGTAATTTAACTTTATTTTTCACATTTTCACATATATTCTGAAAATATTTCTATTATAAAAGTTGTAGTCCTCGAAAAGTTATGCAATGAAAAAAAAAGTTTGCTACGATCGGATAACCGAGCACAAAGTTAAGGTTGTTGAAATTTCAAAGGAGCCACATGGTCGAGGCTTATATCATCGATCTACGACTAGATCGAGTCTCCTAAACTCGAACCGGTTAGTAGTCGAGTTTCTCAACTCGAACCACTCCAAACTTAGGTATTTTGGGAAATTTTTTTAAAAAGTGTGGTAGTTTAGGAATTTATCTTAGTTTTATCTGTATTTAGTGAATTAATCCTAGATCATAAGTCCAACTGATATAAATTACTGACTATCGGGAAAAAATGATCTGGAGTCATTATTGAGAACCAATCACTGACAGTTAAGAAATACATTTTATCAAGGATTCTCTAGCCTTAATTCTAGGCCTCTACCATCAATCCAATTAATTTAGATTATTAGTGTATCAATTAAGAGCTAATAATTCAAAAATATCAGTCGCTTATGCATTTCTTGTAGAGCTATTGGCGCTGTGGGATGCAATACGTGGTGCGTAGCTCGAGGCCTACATTCAGTTGTCTTTGGCAGGGGATGTCTAAGTTATATATGCCAAGGAAGGTTCGTGAGGGTCAGCACCCAGCAGGTGGACGCTCATGGGCGTACAGTTTTGTAGGAGATTCGAGCATAAAGTAAAGCATTCCATAATTTTTTATTTATTTTTGTTGGTCATAAATCTAATAGGGTTGTTCATTTTATGGCCAGAAAAACTTTTCATTATTCCCTTCGTTAATGAGTAATGAGATTCGATATTGTTTCCGGGCTATTTTTGGCTATGTAACTCTTTATATCTGGATGTTTTCTCCTTTAATTGAGTGAACTTTTGATAATAAAAAACTAGATTTTCATTTTATTATATTAAAAATAACTCTGGCCGTATGTTTTTCAAAAAATATCTCTAGCTACAATTCGTTGGATCGTCCAGATTATAACTTATCGATATTGTATTCTGAGTATTTGATTTTGTCATGTTAATCAATATAAATGGATGAAAAATTATATTCATTTCCAGTGAAGCTTTAAACAAACTGTAAAACGGATGACGATCCTGATGGCACAATAACAAAGGATCTAACTTATCGATATTGTATTCGAGTATTTGATTTTGTCATGTTATTCAATATAAATGGATGAAAAATTATATTCATTTCCAGTGAAGCTTTAAACAAACGGTAAAACTGATGACGATCCTGATGGCGCAATAACAAAGGATCTAACGCCTTTAAGAGTGATTGGATGGATCGATCAGGGTCATCATGAAGTCGTCTCTTTTATTTTTCATGGCGGCGTCCACGCCTTCGCCTTGCACATCTGAATCTTGTTTTCAAAATATTACTAATTTATACGAGCTAGATAACAATAATTGCAAGTCCATTTTGATATAAAATAGACATCCTCAATAATCAGTTCAGTATTACTGTTGCCAGTCAAAAGGAAAGAAAATATTGGTTTTGTCTTCAGAAAACTATAAAATATATAGTTCTGTTCAATCCATGGAGACACAAGCATATTGACTGGGAATTGGTTGTGTTGCTCGTGGGTAGATACCGTTTGATCTTTCCTATAAGTATATGTAATTATTTATAGTATTTCGTTTTATGAGTGTGGTGTTGGCTAATAAAATTTTTTTATCATGTAAACCTAATGATTGTGTGAAGAAATGATAAGACGGTACTGACCGTTAAAGGTCACATAGCTTGTGAAACCTTTAGTAGGCGTTGGTTTTGGGAAGTGGCAAATCTCTTGTTCGACCCCCTCCGAGGTCCACCAAGTGAACCCCCAGGTTCGGTCTTGCTCCGCCATCGCTTTGAGGTCCACCAAGTGAACCCCAAGGTTCGGTCTTGCTCCGCCATCGCTCAAAGCGATATGTGTAGATTTTCCTAGGTTATAAAAAAAGCGGTACCGACATTTGTAAGTAGACTATCGTTCTTTTTTTGGGTGAAAAAATAGACTATCGTTCTAAATATTCATTAGGAGAAATACTCAATTGACAAAAACATAAATATTCAATAGATTCAAAGGGAATTTTTTGTTTCTTTGATACGGATATGTGCATGTAAAAAAGTGACCCAATGGATACTACCACATAAAATATTTGTATATCAAAAGATGAAAGTATTCTAGAAATAATTAGTGCTGAAGTCAAAAATCTGATTTAAGGAGTGCTAAAATATATGTGTCGAATCGTTACTCGGTCCTAATTCATGTAAAAATATAAAGGGGGAGAAAAGCAATTTGGCCACAAGCAAAGGACTCGAATCCATCAGATGAAAACAAAGACATACACTAAAGTCTAAAACAATTGATTACCTAAAGAAAAAAAAAAAAAAGCGTAGTTCAACTCCCATAATAGCAATATGGCTTGTTGACTCGATTGACTCGATTGAATAATCACGATTGACATGGAAATATCTGATAATGACGCGTATGGTGGATGAACCTCCTCCCCTTTTCTCCTCCGTTTTGGTTGGTTTTTTCATATCTTTCAGAATTACATGATGATTGGATGTTCCATGAACCATGGTTGATGATCATGAGACTTCTTATCTAAATTTCTCAAGTTCACACTACTGTTGTACGTGAAATGCTGTTCCCTCAATGTCTCAATTCACTTCTAGATTAGACGACGTCAATAATGAGGCCAAATACCATTATAGGGAGGCATAAGTTCAAGCTTCTTGTTACGAGGGGATTATGGAGAACGAATAGTAATGCCTGTGTCGTCGATGGAAATCAACCATCCCAGCTAAACAATAGTAGTCAGACTCGAAGACAGGATATATATCAAATTATCAGCAGCTCAGTAATCCTAGAAACAAAGAGAACCTGGAGAAGAAATGTTCAGTCTCTCGTCCATCTTCCGTCTTAAGAAACTTCACATAATAGCGCTTCCAAACTGTTACTGAAATGTCATTTACGAAGATGATATTCAATCCGAGAGGAAACTGAGAAAAAGAGCGAAAAAGAGACTGACAAGAAAACCTGAAGAGAAGAAGAAAGAAAACTGTTCTCTATGAGGGAGCGGGGGCATTGAACAGGGTGGAGGGTGCTGATAAGATGTCGTTTTTCCAATTCCTAAAATCATTCCTCAAAGTCCTGCATGTGGTCCAAAAGATAGTTGGCAGCCAGTTCCTCGTTCTTGTTGCAGGCGAAGAACACCTCCAACACGATTTGTGGATCAAATCCCATCGCTTCAAGCTGCAAAATAAAAGGGGCGAAAAGAACAGGGTGATAATCCGATACCAAATGCAACGATTGCTTCAAGCTCAAATCGTGGAAGAGTAATAAGCAAAATGGTTTAACTGATACTTACGCGGCCTAGTGCTTCACGCTCTTCAGGAGTAACTGTCACCGACTGTGGCATAGCAGCAGCAAGCTGCCCCAATATGCCCCTGTATAATCAAAGAACAGTATCAGGAACCACCGAGTAAAGAATAAGCACTTATAATAAACAAAACCAGGAAAGCAAAAGAGATTCTTACGCCTCTCCTCCCTCGACTGGTTCATTGATCAGGCGAAGGAAGTCTGCCTGATGGTCTTGAATCAGTCTCATTAGATGAGGATTTTGCTTCCCCAATTCTTGAAGCATGGGCTAAAAGATGCCAGCATTACCAATGTGAGTCAAAAACATATCTAGAATGAAGAGCTAAAAGTACCAACTCTTCTGAAAAGTGTAGTAGAACCTGCAATATCTGTGGGTTAGCCTGCACCATAGCTCGCAAGGCTTGGAACTGACATTGGAAAGAGAAATCAAACGGAACAAACTCAGTGATCTTAACATAAAGCGAGAGAGAGAGAGAGAGAGAGAGAGAGAGAGAGAGAGAGAGAGAGAGAGAGAGAGAGAGAGAGAGAAACAAGAAATATGCACAACCAACAAGGAAGAGGATGAGACCTGCTGACTGTTCCTCAAGAAGTCCAGTGTTCCAGCACCACCAGCCCCACCTGATCCAGCAGCGGGAAGGCCCTTCAAGGAAAAAATAATAAAAGCAATCATCATTTCCAAACTCTCCCAGCTGTCTGTACTTAGATTTTGGATTGACAAACTACTACCTGAGGGAAAAGGTCTAAAGGATTCGCATTGGGTCCTGCAGCAGGAACTGCAGCTGGGGCTGCAGCCTGTGCAACTCCTGCTGCTGCTGCAGCTGGATTTGCAGGTTGTCCACTCACAGGTGCTTGTGGTACTGGTGCTGCAGGTTCAGCTTGCTCAGGAATGCCCTGAAATTAGCTACTTCATAAGTTGAAAGCCACAGACACTATAGAGAAAGCTAGTATCGAGACTACAGCCAGAAGGTTCGATCTCGAAGAAAGAACTTGCTAAGGAATCACAGATAGACAAAACAAAACAGAAAGATCTTGCTAAAGTTCAAAGTAGTTCACCAGCACAGGGCTTAGGTCATTAGAAGAAAAATCTCGTAAGACTACTAAAGAATAAATGGAAGTATATTTAGGGACAATAACTAGATGATCCCTAAACTTATGTTCCCACATACTATCATTACTTAGGAAAAGAAAATTAATTGACAACCTAGTCCCAGCATACTATCACTTTCTGCCAAAAAAGTTTGAATCTGAACCTAGATCTACTATGCCAGATTCATTGGTTAAAGATTACCAATGACAAATCGTACACCTCCTTCAACAACAACTGTATGATCATGAAACTGAAGGGCTCATTATCCAGATAGAGTGTAACAATATCTACAGTCGCATTGTTGAAGGTCCAGATTCACAACTTAAAAGAAAAGTAGTAAGAGATCCGTAATAATTCTCCTAAACGTTAGAATCCAATGAGCCAAAGCAACAAAAAGAGTGCCACCCGTCATTGCAGGGAAAGGACGTGGGACCAGAAGATGCACAACAGAGGATTAAAGATGATTATTGCCTCAAGTTTTTGGAATAAAAAGTTCTTTCAAAAGCGATCCAGCGTGATTCTGAGGGTAAGTAATAAATGCCGACGTTTTTGTCATTGCTGTAGCAAGTCATATCGAGAGCTTAAGCACATAGAAAGGGGTTGCAAGACTTACAGAGTACAGATATTCAACAGCTCTCTCTGGATTATTGAAAGCAGCACGGAGTGCCCGAATAACAATTTCTCTGTCCCAGGTACCTCCACCCATATCAAGGATTTGCTGGACTGCTCCTTCCAAGTTAGTCCCAGCCACCAATGTAGATGCTGCTTGACCATAAGGATTGGCGTCAGACCTGAACCATCAACCATTTTGTTCAGAAGTGAAATAAAAAACAAATCAGTGACCAAAAGGGTTTTAACAAACTTCAATAAATGCACATGTTACAATTACAAACACCGCTTGAAGCAAGTGACAGGGAAGAAGATATTAAAGCAGCAGCAAGTGAAGAGAATTCTGTAGACTACTCAATGACAAGGTAAAAGAATGAGACCAAATTAAACAGCAAACATGACTTGAAGCAACAGAAGTGAGATACTAACGTAGCAGCAACTAAAGATGTAGGAGCAGCAGGTGCTGCAGACGCAGGAGCAACCAAAGGAGCTGCAGCTGGAGCCGAAACCGGAGCCGGAGCTGGCCTGACATTACAAAGGAATTCAAAAAATCAGTTAAAGCAAAATTTTATAACTTAATGAATGCACATCATGATATGTATATATACTCACGGTGCTGCTACAGGAGCTTGTGGTGCTGTTGATGATGGGGCACTGGTCTGAGGTGCCTATTATACAACCACAGTTCCATTATATTGATGATAATAGTAAGAGGTTTCCCCAGGAAAAACTTGTAAACCATGGAGAACTAAAAGGAGACTGACAAGACAATATATGATTATACGTAAAGAGGTGGGCTCTAAACCAGAAACCCTGAGACAATCAAAGCATCAGATACATGTAATGTTTCAGTATTACCTTTGCTGTTGAAGCTGAACCTTCGCCAGAAGAGTTTTTCTATAAAGATAAAGCAATGCACGAATTTAGAACCATAATGCAAATCAAAGGACGGGAAGCAATACTAAAGTGTCAAGCAAGACAAAAAGTGAATCCACTAAAAGTATATCTAACTGATCTCACCTTTTTTATCATGACAACAACAAAGCTATTTTCAGCAACTTTATTTTCATCCAATGTCGTTTCATCCTTAAGAACCTTCCCTTGGTGGATAAGCATCAGTTCTCCAGCAGGATAAGTGTCTGCTCCTTGTGCAGATTCTATGGTCTTCTTGACATCAGCGACCTAAACTTAGCAAAGGAAAAGTAAGGATCTTGATGGAAAGATTATAAGATGCTTTTAAGAGCAATATTGCGAATTGTAAAAGGAACCCACAGGAAAATACATGCTCTACTGCTCCACTCACTAGCTCTGATCCCCCCCCCCCCCCCAACACACACACACACACACCACCGACTAATTGAATCTAGGAAATGGCGTTATGTTAAACATGTCGTAAATGGACATAGTTATTGCCAATTCACCACAGAAGGGCATGAGATAGACTACAAATTAGTGAACCAAGTCAAGCCATGCCAATCACCAACCCACACCCCACAGAAAACATACACACACAGGCTGCTCAAGATAGAGATATGATAAACAAAAAAGCAGAGATACAGTAATATGGAGCGCTCTCCCTCCCTCTTTCACAGTACTGCTATGAATATCTGCCCAATTCTTAAGTTCCAAAGCGCTCAGTCAGCAACCCAGTGGCTCCAGGTTGGAAAATTATTTACTCTGTTACTTCACCATAGCTAGATGATTTAATCTTCAAAAAATTTCATCATGAAACAATTCACTGTAGGTAGTTATGTCAGCAACCAAGTGGCTCCAGGTTGGAAATTGATCTACTCTGTTACTTCACTTGTATAGCTAGATGATTCAATCTACAAAAGTTTCCATCCTCAAGCAATTAACTGTAGGTAGGTAACCCCTACTACCCCAGACCTACAATCAAGCACTGACGTAGCTATCTAAACAGCTGAGAGCCTAATCCACCATCATCCAATACACTAAGCACAGAGGAAAACAATTCGTCTGCGGCACGTCACAAGCACATCGTCCACAACCAGAATTGTCAACCATTAGTGCCACGGAAGTAGTTCAACTACTCAGCGATTCACAGAATCAAGCTAGGAATCGAGGTCCAGCCACACCTAAATCATCATCCAACTCCCAAACACGCTTCTGAATTCAGCAAAATTCTGAAGAACAAATATGAATTTCAAGCTAGAGTAACACAGCTTGAAACAAAATGATAAAGATAGCAATAAGCAACCAGCATCAATTGAGACCGAAATAGTAAACAACCGCAATCAACACTCGCTGCTCCGATTTCCAAACGAAAATTCAATGTCAGAAACACTAGGAACCCTAAACCTTTAAACAAGGCCGATTACCGTGTCTTGGGGCTTGACTTGGATGTCGAAGGTACTGCCCTTCAGAGTTTTGACGCAAATCCTCATAGTTTCTTTCGTCTCTGTCATCGCCGCCGGTTGCGCCGTCGTCTTCTCGTTCCGTTACCTTCTCTTCCCGCTGCCTCGTTCCTCTGATACCTCCGATCTCTGTGACACCGTACACTCTCGATTTCACTCCCAACTTTTCTTGCCCCTCGCGATCCCAGAGCTTTTATATCCTACAACGCGCCTCTCTCGAAGTATCGTCGCAATTCGCAAGTAAGGAATAAATGAGGGCATTTTCGTCAGATCAGGAAAAAAAGGTCGCCTTTGGTTCTGGAGACTGGATTATGAGATACAACATACAAGAGATTGATTTAAGTAAGGGTTAATAGTATTTTATGTCCCTTATTATTGTGAATTAACAAACATACTCCTGTACTATTTTTTTTGCATAAACATGCTCTTATATTATCAAAGCGTAACAAATATACCTTTTTGTCAATAATCTCGTTAACTAACCATAAAAGTAATGGACAATTGACTATGCTGCCCCTAGATTATTAAGTAAGTATTTTGCCTCTTTTTCAACTGAAATTAAAAAAAAATCATGTATTATCTAATTTTTTAGTTGTTTTAAATTCTTTTTATATTCCTATGGGTATCGAATTAGCAAACCCCCATCAATTAAAAGCCGACACAGATATGCCTATACGACTCCCAGCTCTTACGGCACCTTGCTTCGGCGACTTCTAATTTTGACGGCAGCAGTACGAGACTCCGGTGAATTTCGACGACGAGCACCAAAGGAGCTATTACCGACGACAATTAGTACCAAACTCCTTCCTCCGATCTCCCACGCCAACTGCGCATCTCCACCGGCGGAAACAAATCTTGACTTTCGGATCCTCATCTCCTCTTATCGGTTGCAACCTCACTGCCCTTTTGGAACCCTAATCCTTATGACCCAAAAATTTATTGCGCATTTGATAGAAAATTGAAATTTATAAAACCCTAGATTTCGAATCACAAATATGATTTCAATAGTTTCAGAATAAACAGAAGAGGGGGAATGGAGGTCAATGAAATTATGATTTCAAGAGTTTCAGAATAACCAGAAGAGAGGGAAGAATGAAGGTCAAAGAAAGACCTCCTTGGAGTGGAGGAGTCAACGAGGAAAAATAAAAAGGGAGAGAAGCTGGTCTCGGTGAAAGGGAGAAGGCAATACAAGAGGTTGAGGGTTCCAATTTATGTTCGATCGGCGGGAGAAAATTTCTTGACGGAGTTGGAGGGCCGCCGGACAAAGGGTCTCAACATCGGTTCAACTTCTTTCGGAAGGGATAAGAGAATTATAAAACTGAATTAATTAAATAATTGTTTTTAATTTTGGCTGAATAAGAGGGAAAAAACATAATTACTTAACAAGCGAGGGACAATTCGGTTATTCTCTATCCCATTTAACTGTTAGTTAACAGAATTATTAACAAAAGAGTATATTTGTTACGCTTTGATAATAGAAGGGCATGTTTGTGCGAAAAAATAGTAGAGGGGCATGTTTGTTAATTCACATTAGTACAGGGGCATAAAATGCTATTAACCCTTTAAGTAATTAACATGATGGTTGGGTTGTCAATGCATGGTTGTCACGCCGGCCGACGTGACAACGGTTGTACCTGGTTCAACCAGTACCGATCATAAAACCGACGTGACACCACCGGTATGACCGGTATGATCGATATATGAATTTCTAAGTAAAATGATCTTATTTTAGTGAATTTAATTGTTAAAAATTATTTTATTATTTATTTTATGAGTATAAAAGTTAACTATTGATGTTATTTGTTGGATTCAAGTATAAATGTTTAGGTATTGACATTAAATGTCATGTTTAAATATGAGTATTTATAATTTTATTTGTAATATTGACCGGCACAAACCGGTATGTACCATCGGTCGAACAATTCCACTTGCTAAATCGGCACACTAACATAAACCGGTTTGACAACCTTACAATGTAGCGATAAATCTCAACAAAGAGCATAGTGATAGGCGTTTCGTACTACATAATAATGGGTCTTATTTTCATCATAGTGAATACAAATAATAATAATAATAATAATAATAATAATAATAAGGTGCTGCGAGCAATTATGATATGATCCACAATACATAACTTTATCGAACTCTGTCGTATTTGCGTGTCAACGGTGGATGTTGTTTACCTCTAAAAGCTAAATGCTAAACCTTACTTCCCTAGACCCGAAAATCCTAAGATGAATTAATTAATCGATGAGCAAACTATTTCATAGTACATCTAATAGCTAGTGCATTAGGAAGTACTACATACTCCAATGTTACGTTTCTCTTTGTCTAGCTTACGATATCATGAAGTTTCATTAAGGTAAATGTAAAATACCCCAAACATGACACTAATGACAATTGACAACCACCTATCATGTTCATGTGATTGCAATTCGATTTTGGCTACGAAACATATGTAATTTTAATAATATGACATATTGACATGTGATCAAGTTTATTATAGTAACGAAAATCGAACTAGTAAAATAAGGGCTTGACCTAAGGATAGTATCACAGGCTTTGAACCTGGAAGTTCGAGGCTCCATATTCGAAAATCAATAGTATCGGGGTAACTAAAAATAAGAATTCATGTAGTGGTTTGGTACAATAATAAAATTGGTGTACTCCCGACGACCAACCTCACTTCTATAGTTCTATTAAGGCTAAATTACACGTTTGGTCACTCGAATTAAACAAATCTTTCACTTTTGCCACTCGGATTACTTTTCTTTCTTATTCGCCACTAACTTTACGAATTATTTCACCATTAGTCACTGACCGTTACCCTCCGTTAAATTTATCCTATGTGGCAGTCAACTATAAAGTTTGACCGTTAACTAGATGACGTGGAAATTAAAAAAATTAAAAAAATTCCACCTCATCATTTCACTTACTTTATTATTTATCATATTAATTATTTAATAAAATTTAATTAAACTACAAAATTAATTATCCAACTCTCTCATCGCAGCCGAACGTTTTGACAACATCTCCAGCTATCGCCGTGATCCGCAATCAGTTAGATTCGTCAGCGGATACAAATTCCTCCGGCGACCCGAACCCGACACAAACCCAAACCCAGACTCAGAACAAAAACCAGGCACAATCGTCACCATCGCCACTACTGATTTAGCCTAATCTCCCATCTCTTATATCCTGCCTTTCCCTTTCCCAACTATCCCCCAAAGGACCCAATGTATTCTTTCGCCCCACCGTTTACTTTCTCCCTCCCTACCCCGAATTCCCGCTGGCGAGAGGGCAAAGAAGTTGTAATCAAGTGAACTGAACGACATGGCATCTGAATCGGCCCCGAAAGTGAATCCGCTAAGACATGAACTGGAGAGAGGCGACGACGAGTCGACGACAGCAACCGAGCAACACCGGCGGTGGCGCGGTGCAGACGACGTTGATTCTGCTCGAGACGACGATGACTGCCGGAAAGTCGATTGGCTGGCGATGGTGGTGACCTGGAAAGGGCGACGTTGGCAGGAGCTCAGATCCGAGCAACCTCTACTGACGACTACGTCGATAACAATTCAACGATGTCGGCACACGGACGACGATGATGATAAGAGGAACAAACTACAAAGGCGAGTTGAGGCCGCTGACGACGGCTTTACTCGACGTCCGACGACTTGTGTTGATGACGGCCAGCATTAACAAGGACGACGATTGCACCGCTAATTCTGGTGGCACGAGAAACCGACGCAGGGATGCCAGATCGCGGATTGGAGGACGGTGAAGAAGAGATCGATGGTTTAACGGCCTAGGGACACGAACGAAAAAGACAACGTCGAGGGTGGCCTGAGATGGAGTCAGCGAAGATGAAGAAGAGGAACAATCACGACCTCTGCCATTTCTTTCTCGTCGCTGATAATTAATTTTTTAATTTTTATTAAATAATTAATATGAAAAATCAAATAGACAAAGTGGAATGATGAGGTGGAAAATATATTTAGTTTTTAATTTATTTTAAATTTCCACATCATCTAGTTAACAATCAAACTTTATAGTTGACTGCCACATAAGACAAATTTAACGGAGTGTAACGGCCGGTGACTAATGATGAAATGATTCGTAAAGTTAGTGGCGAATAAGAAAGAAAAATAATTTGGATGACAAAAGTGAAAAATTCGTATAATTCGAGTGACCAAACGTGTAATTTAGCCGTTCTATTACTTACTGCTGTACTTTTCCAAATTCCAATCACTTCTCCGATTGCATCCATTAGTTTATTTATCCGCCATGATCCCTACGAACGATCGATCCTGCCATTCCCTTCTCTAGCGTCGAAACAGTGGAGAAACCGGCGGCCTCCGCCATCGAAGAACACGAACTTCGCTGATCTATCCGCAACATTCTAGGTGGGCACCTTGGGCCATCTCTCCTCTCCTTCTTCCTCTTCTTCTTCAGTTACTCATGGCAAAAGCATCTCAAGATTTCTCCTATGGTGAGCGTGTTCAGAGCGGCGAATTCATGTGATTTCGGGTCGAGGGTTTACTTTCTTAATCGAGCTATGTTGCCCGGGTTTACATTCTATTTCGGCATTGTTGAGTTGATGCATTTATGGTGATCAAGATTGTTTGTGGGATTAATTCATGGTCTGGGCAATAACTGATCAATGTACTCATCAACTTACTAGATAGCAGCTCATCCCTAGTTTTTTCTTCCCTCATCGGGTGTTGAAATTGAAGCAAGTCGGTTCCTTTTTCAATTGCCGACTGATTCTGCCGCTCTCTGTTGCTCTTTGTCCGTCTGAATATATCTCTCATTATCTCGACACCCGCAAGTCAGTCTCGTCATTTCAGCTTGTCTGATTGCCTGTGCGGCCAATCACCACTCGAATGTCTTCCCAATTGAAACTCCAAGATATGCCGCCAAGTTCAAGCATGGCAGTTCCCATAGGCTCAGCCACCGACCACTTCCGGCAACCAGCTGCCGCCGTCTTGGGTGACCCTGCTGACACATCAACATCTGCGTCTTCTTCAACGGGTGTGACTCGTACCTTCCACTTCTCCTCTGGAAACCCCAGAATTGAAGAGACACGAGGGATCATGCATCTTTTCTGTGAAGACTCTCCTTCACATCTTCCTGTATGCTATCGCTTTTCGGTTACATTTTTTTCTCCAGTGTCTCTTCTCCTTAGGTTTCGATAGTGAAAAATTATAAGCTTTCATCAATGAATCCGACCTTGTTCTTATTTTCTTGATTAGATTGGAAGAAAGCCTCTTGCTTCGGTGATTGGGGTGCCGAACCACATGACTTATGCAGACTTTTGCAAGTTTTGTGGTTCTTTTACCCAACACATACTGGAGATGCGGATTGTCAGGTAATGTGATTCATCAACTTCTCTGATCTGGGCATTGCACAATTTCTTAGGAATATTACATGGTTATGGACTAGGCAGAACAAGAATTACTAAGTCGTGGCCTGATGTGTTTTTGGTTGCCTGTTATTTTACTTTCTTTTGGTTTTGTTGCTGACAGTTCTTACTGCGTTATAGGAATGAAGAGATGGAGGATAGATATAGTATTCTGATGAGATTTCAAAATCAAGACTCGGCAGATAAATTCTACCTGCACTTCAATGGTAGAGAATTCAACTCTTTGGAGGTACAGTTTATTTTAGTATTGGCTGTAATTTGTAACATTATTATTTTAACTTGTTTTTGACAGAGAAGTCGTGCATAGAGTCTGCATAGCATTCAATAATTACATTTTTGTTTCTACAGGAAGAAGTTTGTCGTGTGCATTTTACCATTGATGTACAGTTCACTGGTTATAGTGGTTCACTTGAACATGGTCAGCCTTCACCAACAAGTACAACTGAACAGTCTTCTTGCCCAGTTTGTCTCGGTACGCTTAGCGGGTCTGAACTGTTTTTCGGTTCTTTTTTCACAACTCATTTATCTCTTTCCCAGGGCACCTACTTGTGAATGTAAGGAGAAACTTTTTTCACAACTCATTTATCTCTTTCCCAGGGCACCTACTTGTGAATGTAAGGAGAAACGGAAATATTTTTCTGATAATCTTCTCGTACTGAAGAATGTGAATTAATACAATGGACTTACTAGATTTGGAGTTGTAACCTTGGTCGGGTCTTGGGATCTGCTTACTGAGAAGGAAAGCCTGAGCAGTATATGAAAATAACCAAAACGTTATGGCACTGTATTTTCATTCTCCTGCTTAGAGCCAGTGATCCATTGTCGCCCTTTGTGCTAGTATTGTTTAGACTGGCCTTAGTTTCTTCCCGTGGACGTCATTTAATTATCTTTATGGTTAGTCTTGCATCTTAATGCCCCACTTCTCTCGAAACCCGAAAGTACTTTCTTACCTAAAGTTTCTCAAATATGGTGGCTAGGACTTGCTCAGCTTGTTGCAAGTCCAAGCAGCACATAGTTTTCATGAAACAACCATGTCTCTGGAGCATATTTGTAGGTAATCACTTCCTATTTCCTTGCCTGATATTGACTCTCACAGTATCCTGATTAAGTCATATTGAAATTGAATCATTTGAAAGTGGATTTCTGTTCCAGAGGTTGGAACATTATATTCTGGTTTTACAAATAAATACATGTTAACCGGCAAAATCCCATTACTCAGACCTGTAAGTTTGAACTTTTCGTTGTAATTATTGCTATATTTTCTGTCCTTAAAAGATCTTTGTGGTATAAGTTCGATAATTCGGAAAATGTTTGTTACCTTGTTCTATCAAATAAGTTCTAAAATTTTCATTGGCATGCACACACCATTATAAGTTGTCGGTTGCTTATTCATACCAGCACTTTTGCTGACATTTTTTGTATGAACTATCCTTGTATGTTGTTCATTAGATTGAGTGTTGTGCCCGCCGTATCTTTTTGTGACTAGCTAAACTGACAAGGGATTCGGATTATAGCAGAGCTTCCCCAATAGTACCATTCTATATTGATGACATTTGACAATTCCAGTGAAATCCTGACTGTAGTGTGGAAGGGTTTTAGCCCTCGTTCAAGCAATGATATAACTTGAAACACTGTTTCATATCTGGATCGTAATTTTAGATTCTTATGCTTTTATTTTTGGGGTTTTTTCTCTGGGTACAATTATTTCTCCTTCCTTGAAGCTTAGAGTTACACAGATAATGTTTTCTTAGAGATCTTCCTCTGAAATTTTGTCAAATCCGTGCTCTTATACTGTCTTTTTGTTACAGAGAGACTAGACCACGACATTGGTGGAATTCTCACAACCATATGCAATCATTCATTTCACTGCTCCTGCATCTCGAAGTGGGCAGACTCTTCTTGTCCAGTAAGTGGTTAAAACTTCACTACACTAGCTTCGTTCATGATAAACTGTTCGGAAGTCAACGATATTGTTTCATATTGATAGATACTCGGACGTAGCTTTTGTTTATGTTTAATGGATAGAATCCCCTTTCAATCCTGCAACTTGTGCATAGACGGATAGGATAGTTGACTCCAATCTGATAACCAATGGAGAAACCTTTCCTACCAGTTGAACATAGATTGCATGAACTAGGACCTGAACTTAAGAGCTTCCCAGCTGCTCAGTTTGACATTTGATTAACCTATTTACTTTTCAAGTTTATAGTGATTTCATTGATGTACTTATGACTCTTTTCTTCTAGGTTTGCCGATATTGCCAGCAAATGCCTGAAAAATCTGTATGTTTTATGTGTCAAACTTCAGAGAACCTATGGATCTGTTTGATCTGTGGGTTTGTTGGTTGTGGAAGGTATGCATCTTTTTTCCCCTTCTTTTGATGACTGGGGAATAGCTATCTCCCTCCTTTCATCTCCTTTTGTGCTTATCCACTTTCATCATTCCTAAATGTGTAGGTATAAGGAAGGACATGCTGTGAGACACTGGAAGGAAACCCAGCATTGCTATTCTCTTGAATTGGAAACACAGCGCGTTTGGGATTACGCCGGTGACAATTATGTTCACCGACTAATTCAATCAAAAACAGATGGAAAATTGGTTGAGTTGCATACCCATTGTGTGCACGCTGTTGATGGTTGTGGGAGTTGTGGCTGTATGGACTCTGGAATCAGTGAGACGCTATTAAGCAGCAAAGTCGAAGCAGTAATCTCTCTTTTCCATTAATTCTCTAGAAAGTTCATGTTTTTATGCCAGTTCTTATTTGAAGCGCCCTCATGCGCTGTTCAATTTTCTTTTCCCAGATTGTTAGTGAGTACAACGAACTCCTGGCTACACAACTTGAGAACCAGAAGCAGGTGCAACTGATCATTCATTATTGGTAATTAAGATTAATATTGACCTTCTAGCAAGTCTCTTTTGAGTTACAGTACTTGTACGTATGTGCAGTACTTTGAGGCTTTATTACAAGAGGTGAAAGACGAAACTGCTCGAAAAACGTCTGAAGCTGTTAAGAAGGTTGTTAGTCAAAAAGCACTAAAGTTGCAGGCCAAGTTGGAAAGATGTACCAGAGAAAAGAAATTTCTGGACGATGTAAGTCCCTTCAATCTTGGGGTTGGCTTGAAATGATGCTGGACCAGGATTGGATTGCCTTTTCTTCTTAAGAAATAAAATGTTGAGCTAATATGAGAGCTTTTTTTTATAATAGTAAAGAAAAGAAAAAAGATAACCTGTCTCTCGCTTCTTGTTGTAGCTGAATGAAAATCTGGTGAAAAACCCGCAAGTCTGGAAAGTGAAGATACTGCAGATGGAGGAGAGGTAGGTTTTTAACCTTTTTGACAATACTGTTCACTATATGGTTTGCTACGTTTCGATGCATGCCAATTTCATGCACAAGAATCGAAATACTTCTATCTGTTACTATGTTTCGCCTGTGGATTGTGCCTCTGGAACTTGAGTATGACCAATTAGCTACTGTTACCCATCCCGATCTGGGAAATTTCTGCTCCTATTTTGGGGAGCAAGTTCTTCTAATTTTTTGCTGCATTCAATATGCAGCTGAATCTGCATGTAAACCTACCGATCTTTCTCCCTTCTAACTACACTTCTCATGTTTTCTGTATCTGCAGCGAGAAAAAGGCTCTGAAATTGAAGGATGACAAGATCCAGATGTTGGAACAACAGGTTAGTCTGCGTTTCGAGTCCTTTCTGTCTTTCATTATACAGTAATATTGAGTAAGCAAGCCTGCATGGGTTGGATTTACAGAGGAGCTTTGTGTTTTTTTGCAGCTTCATGATTTAATGGCTCGGTTGGAAGTAGGAGATGCCCACGGAGCAGGATGAGTCAGCAGCATCAACTGCTATCACCGACACGCCAATACATGTACAATCAATCTCCTCCTTAACAAGCGACACAGATGGTGGTGGGAGATAGGTAGTTACTAATGGATAGTCTCTGATGTATGCTCCTGAGTTCTGTGTTATACATTAACAGCTGATGATCACATTTAAGTGAATGGAATCACAGTAAAGGATTTGTCCATTGATGCCATCACTATTAAGAATCGCCTTTGACCACAATGTCTGCAAACGTCAAACATAAGCAAAGGCGAATAGCACTCCACGCTGTAAGCAGTTTTTTTTATCGAAATCTGTAACTTCATTAATCAGTGAAGGTTGTTACATCGTCTAACTTAAACTGATCAAGTGAACAAATTGGCAGTCTGTATATCCATACAACCGCTCGTTCCACTTGGTCTCTGCATGAGCTATGAGAAATCATTGTCCAACTGCAGGAATCATTCATGGACAGATGATTTTGTTTTGATGCAGTTTGCTGGGGCTGGTGGCTGACTGTTCGACTATAGCCTCGACCTCGAGCCTAATTAGGAAGGATGGGTTGGATGAAACTCCCCGGGTATGATTGGTTCCTCCGATCATCAGACTTGTTTACAGTGATCGAGTCTCAGTTGATCAAGCGACTTTCACAGACCACCCTGAGCTAGCGTAGGAGTTTTGCAAGTGACTTCCTTAGTTGCTCTAAAGTATTCCTACGAAAACAGCGGGTATATATGACAGGTATTATCCACGAGTGTCCAAAAACCTCGGCTATAATGTTAGGGTGCAAAACTCCTTCGTTTGAGTTTGAGTATTTGGAAATGGGAATGCGAATAGTTCAGGAAAACAAGCTCCAAACCTGTCCCGTTGCAGGTTTCCAATACTGAAACCCAACAAGAAAGTCGCTTCCCTGTGCAAAATAGAGTTAAAATCGGGTTTAGAATCCTTAAGTACAGACTATTAGCTAGCCATATGCAGAACCCAACAGCACTGTTTCTTTCTTATTTAGTAGCTACCCGTTCTACTACATGTTCTCTTATAACTTCTAATAATACCTTGACATACTAGATTTGGTCATCATCATCATCATGGGAAAATCTTGCGTCTCCTCCGTGGAGTCTCCCGCTTCACATATACTTTCTCCGTCTCGTTTAGAGGTCGGCTAGACCCATCTGGTAAGCTCACAAACTTCCAGCCACCACCGCCACCACGTTTCCCTTGAGGTCCCATTTTCTCCACCGTGAAGTTCCAGCCTTCAGCTGGCCGCCGCCTACTGTATTTGTGGCATTTCACCTTCCCAGCAATCTATACCCAAGGAGGAGAATAATATAATGTCAGAAAATGTACAAAGCCGCCTTCTTTCTAAGTATCAAAATACTTTCAAAGCAAAGTGCTTTCCATAAACTGCTGCCTGGTCATTTGTATTTAATTAGCTTCATAATTTATAGACAGTGACCTGTGAGTTTGTCTGCAATGGGTTGAAATTTGCAAACAAATCACATAAAATAAAGCAATCTAAAGGTAGAAATAAAACTCACTCCTAAAGCTGTAGTACAGTTCTTTGCAATTTAAATCACTTTTAAGCTGGGCTAAGAACAGCATAATTGTCTACAGAAACCCAGGTCACCTTGGTACTGGAAATCTATACACTCGTTAACCAGTAACAACTACCGTCACCAAGATTGTCATTCTCAATCTCACAAGACAAAATCGAAAATCTAACATTTCTCAACCTTCATCCCTTCCAGGAAATCAACTTGTGCCAACTTTATTTTATTCTAAGTGTATTTCTGTTTCATTATATATTACGCCAGCAGGGTTCTGTCCAAGTGTATTTCGTGATTTGTTAGAATATAATAAAACGGTGTAACACGTGAAACTTACTTTCATTTTGTTGAATTCCATCCTCTGGACGAACTCCTGATAGAGCATTTCATCCTCTTTCTTGGATATCTCATAGTGGACTTCATCAGGATCCCTGGTCGTACCATCCCAACCCTCTGGCATCACCTTGAAATCAGGTTTGTAAGGAAGGGATGCTACATGAAACTCTCGGTCATGGGAAATGAAAAATCTGCCAGTGGGGGAAAAATCAGATTGTAATGTTAGAGAGCTGAAAAGCCACCAAACAAACCTGGATAATTCTGAAAAGGACAAAAAAAAGACATTCTGCTGAGACCTTTCTGCCGTATGCTTTCAATCCTTCTACTAACATCCCTAGACTACCATTCCCTGATGATGGGAAGAACCACAAACCTTCCATGATGGAGTTCACTAAATTTGTAAACGGAATAGAGCTACAGTTCAAACCAAAGTTCCTTACCACCTTCCCTTATAGGAAACTACAAGAATAGAAGCTCATCATTGTGACTTACTCTGGGCAGGTATCAAGCAGAAGTTCGACCGAGTCATCTAAGACACGACCACGCTTTCTCTCTTCCTCCTCCTCTTCCTTGAGCCAGAGAATAGCATGCAGCCTCTGCCTCATGATTCTGTAGTCCTTGGCAAGCTTCTCAATAGTATAAACTTCGGGATTCTCCTTGTGCAATCGATACATCTCTGCCTTCTCTGAATCCTTAAGGTAAGAACCTCTGGCACCAGGCTCCTCTACTTGCTTCAACAACCCACTTATCTCGCGCAACCTCTGCCCCCATCCATCAACAAAAGACTTGCCCTTCCTGTTCTCAGCATCCAATTCTTTCAACTTATCATCAAGATCTTGCAACTCAGATATTGCCAAAGACTGAGAAGCAGCATTGCCAGCAGAACTACTAGACATCTTGCCAACCATCTCACCATCGAAATGATCCTTGGTCAAACCAGTCGACCATGATGAAACAGAGTCCCATCCCAGATCATCCGACCCGAAGGATGATCCGCCGGTAGCAGCATTTTCCCATTCATTCGTTCCTTCATCTTGACCACCACCGCCCGGCTTTGAAGAAAAGCCACAGGTCTTAATGAGTTGATGACTTGCTTCATAACCAAAAGCAGGTGCAGTTTTTTCCTTTAGAAATCTCGATGCAGAAACACTTGTGCCTATAGTGGTTGATGACAGTCGTGATATGAGGCGGGAAATTTGGTGCATATTTGCAGAGTACTTGCTCTATCCTGGAGCAAATGAAAAGGTCAGTACAACAAAAAGAAACTAAGCAAGATACACTCTCATCTTTCTTAGAAGTAGCAGAAGGGTCCAGCAATCAAGTGGATCAGAAAACTAGTCCTCCTTCAAAAGCTTGAAAATGAAACTTGTTTGAAAATTCTCAGCTTCGCATGCCAATTTATTTAGGCTATCGTTATAGGCAATACATTTTTCACACAGACTCACAGAGAACAACCCAGTCCTCGACTAGCCCAAACTACATTGAATTCACATCTTCGAATATTACAAACTAGCTTTGCACCATGCCCATCCATTACAAACCGTTCATTCTCCTGCCTAAGGGCAAAGCCAGAAACTAAAAGAACCCTCGGCCTTCAAATGCCATTGCAATGGGATGACAAGTTCAAGTGAACGAAAAGAGCTTTAACCAATATGATTTGGGACGAACATTGAACTGAACCAGCCAAGTCCCTCGCGATCAACTCTCACTAAAATTCCAAGTGATACCATACTCGCATTCATATAAAACAAAACAATTAAACAAAAAAGAGATGGATACCCACGGCAAATGAAGAGGGCGGTGAACTCGGAGCAACTCCTGCAAGCTGGCTTCCTCAGACTGGCAGTGACAGTGACCGGGCGGACAGGTCTCAACACTGTGAGAAGCGTCTAGTTCCACGGACGGCGGCAGTGGGATTTGCCTCGGAAAGTGGCGGCAGCGCAGAAAGAGATGGGGGTTCGCAGGAAAGTGGGACAGGAGTGGCCAACGTCGAGAGTGATGGTCGATTAATAGTCACTGGAGACGACGAAGGCGGATGGAAGGAGAAGAAGGAAAAAGATTCGTCGATAGGGGCGAGAGTGAAGGGAATTGAACAATCGGATTTGGGGCGAGAGTGAAGTGAGAAGGAAATTTGGTTGTCCAACCGGTTTTTACAATCGGTTTAGTAAGTGGTATGGTCTGACTCATATGTGACCCGTTTAGATAATAGTTTATGATTTTATGCATAATTTGACATTAAATGGATTGTGCAATTATATAATCCGTCTAAATTCTAAAAACAATCTATTTATAATATTAGGATCGTCATCCGTTTTACAGTTTGTTTAAAGCTTCACTGGAAATGAATATAATTTTTCATCCATTTATATTGATTAACATGACAAAATCAAATACTCAGAATACAATATCGATAAGTTATAATCTGGACGATCCAACGAATTGTAGCTAGAGATATTTTTTGAAAAACATACGGCCAGAGTTATTTTTAATATAATAAAATGAAAATCTAGTTTTTTATTATCAAAAGTTCACTCAATTAAAGGAGAAAACATCCAGATATAAAGAGTTACATAGCCAAAAATAGCCCGGAAACAATATCGAATCTCATTACTCATTAACGAAGGGAATAATGAAAAAGTTTTTCTTGCCATAAAATGAACAACCCTATTACATTTATGACCAACAAAAATAAATAAAAAATTATGGAATGATTTACTTTATGCTCGAATCTCCTACAAAACTGTACGCCCATGAGCGTCCACCTGCTGGGTGCTGACCCTCACGAACCTTCCTTGGCATATATAACTTAGACATCCCCTGCAAAGACAACTGAATGTAGGCCTCGAGCTACGCACCACTGTATTGCATCCCACAGCGCCAATAGCTCTACAAGAAATGCATAAGCGACTGATATTTTTGAATTATTAGCTCTTAATTTGATACACTAATAATCTAAATTAATTGGATTGATGGTAGAGGCCTAGAATTAAGGCTAGAGAATCCTTGATAAAATTTATTTCTTAACTGTCAGTGATTGGTTCTCAATAAATGACTCCAGATCATTTTTCCCGATAGTCATAATTTATATCAGTTGGACTTATGATCTAGGATTAATTCTCTAAATACAGATAAAACTAAGACAAATTCCTAAACTACCACACTTTTAAAAAAATTTCCCAAAATACCTAAGTTTGGAGTGGTTCGAGTTTGAGAAACTCGAACTACTAACCGGTTCGAGTTTAGGAGACTCGATCTAGTCGTAGATCGATGATATAAGCCTCGAACCATGTGGCTCCTTTGAAATTTCCAACAACCTTAACTTTGTGCTCGGTTATCCGATCGTAGCAAACTTTTTTTTCATTTTGCATAACTTTTCGAGGACTACAACTTTTATAATAGAAATATTTTCAGAATATATGTGAAAATGTGAAAAATAAAGTTAAATTTACTCCCAAACCACCTTATATTAAAAATTGTTCCTATTTTGAAAATTTATTCCTAGTAAATGTTGTAGTACTCAAAAAATTATGCAAAATAAAAAAAAAACTTTGCGACATTCGGATTGCAGAGCACAAAGTTATGATCCTCTAAAGTTTGGCAAAATCGAAAAATTGCTTGTTTAGCGGTAACAAATGACATTTTCTCGGGGCGAAGGCACGGGAAATTTTTTTATATATAGGGAATTTCTGCCAAAAGAGAAATATTTTTCCAAACGAGGAATTTTTGGATGGCTATCTTCCTAGAAAACATAATTTGCTACCCATAAACGAGACAAATTTTCGAATATGTCGAACTTTGGAGGATCATAACTTTGTGCTCCGCAATCCGAACGTCGCAAAGTTTTTTTTTGTTTTGCATAATATTTTGAGTACTACAACATTTACTAGGAATAAATTTTCAAAATAGGAATAGTTTTTAATATAAGGTGGTTTGAGAGTATATTTAACTTTATTTTTCACATTTTCACATATATTCTGAAAATATTTCTATTATAAAAGTTGTAGTCCTCGAAAAGTTATGCGAAATGAAATTTTTTTTGCTACGATCGGATAACCGAGCACAAAGTTAAGGTTGTTGGAAATTTCAAAGGAGTGGTTCGAGTTCAGCTCCACATGGTTCGAGGCTTATATCATCGATCTAGGACTAGAGAGTCTCCTAAACTCGAACCAGTTAGTAGTTCGAGTTTCACAAACTCGAACCACTCCAAACTTAGGTATTTTGGGAATTTTTTTTTAAAAGTGTGGTAGTTTAGGAATTTGTTTTAGTTTTATCTGTATTTAGTGAATTAATCCTATGATCTAATATTTAGAGGTCCAGACTAAAATGTTCGAGAATCAAAGACTGGGACTCGCTAGTTTCTATTCCTATATTAGAGCGCGTGTCAACACATGCTAATTATCAACTTCGGTTATAACACACTATATATCGATGTGTCTATAAGGTATACTAATTAAGGAGAACACAACATCTCTAGCACCAGAAAAGAGTCAACAGTGACCTCAATCAATCGGGTGCAAATCCCTACACCAAAGTGACTGTCACTATCCCAACTTTAAAACTCAAATGCTGATCACCGGCCACTTTCCCTTTGGCATAGTTTTCGGGTACGCAATGAGAAGAAGCAAGACGAATGTGGGTTCGCATTTGCCTTTCACGAGCACATTTCGTGATTGTTTTGATTTTTAAGGTTATGGACATCGATTGGTTAGTGATGATGGAAAACCAGCTAGCTAGCTAGTAAGTGCGTTTTGATGGACTAGTACCAGTACTGAACTACATATCGTTTTTCTTTTCATGGAGGGGACCTCTCAAAGAGTTTTGCCGTCCATGGATATGGCTAATGGCTTTACAGCTCCACAAGGACACATGGGGTGAAGGTAGTGATGGCAATAGACTAGGTTGGGCGGGTACCTCAATAGCCATATCCGTCCCTTATCAAGCGCTAGTCAGATCGGGTATTCTTCATGCGGGTACAGGTGGAGGCAGGTCGATCCATTCTTATATATTATTTGAAGAAAAGATTATTTTTTAATGATAAAATAAAATAAAATTAGTTCATAGAGATAATATGTAAACTAATTGAGTCCAATAAGTTGGACGATAAAGTCTTGCACATATCTAAAGTATCATTGAGTGAAAATATGAGTAAAGATAGGTCAAAATAGGAGAAATATTTGGGACAAATGAATATAAAAGATCTGAAGTAATACTCATGTCATGCCCACACTACTACAAATCAGGTATTATTCGTCCCCGTTAAAATCAGATTGGATAATACCTGATGAGGCCGATTCAAATTGCCATCACTAGATAACGGGTGCCCTTGCGAAGGGCACGTGTAGGGATTTCGGTGTTCCGGCTTTTGTTAATGGAGTTTTGGTGAGTCATATTTCAGTGGTGGACTTGAGTTGAGGAGAGGGCCAAACTAAAGTAGTGCATGCGTATACAGCAAACCTTATCAGAAAATAGGGAGTTATGTTTGTCGGACGGTAAAGGCATCGAGTGTAGAAGAGAAAAAAGAGAAGACAAAGAGCAGAAGATCTATGTTAGGAATAGCCGGATAGGATTTGGGAGGACAGGAAGTGGATATTTTCTTCGTTTATGGAAGAGGAAGATCCAAAATGGAAAAAGGAAGGCGGTATGTGCAAAGATATGGCAAAGCTGGCGTATGAGTAATCACCTTGGCCACTTTTCCCTCTAAATTTTGTGGTTGGTCATGACAATGAGATAGTTTACTCTTTTGTTTTTTTAATAGGTTTCTCATCAAGGGTGGGAGACAAAGGGGAGAAAAATTGTGCGTTACGAGTCTATTGAAATTAGGATCTCTGAGTTCGAAGTCATATATCTAATTCATTCTAGTAAATTTGTGCTGGCATTGTTAGATCAAGAACTGAAGCTGTGGAATATCTTTCTCATTTGGGATAATGATTAGAAGACAAGTTGAGCTGATGTGTTCAGTTGAGTTAAAGCGGCAGCGTTTAGTTAAGTTTGTGTCAAATAATGTGGAACTATGTCGTTTCTTTTAGTTTGTGTTTAGTCCTTGAAGTTGTAAATTGAGTCAGTAGAGACATGTAGGTTATTACTTGTCATATGAAGTTAGGAAAACACGAGAGATTACTTGTGAGGTAGCTTTCAGATAAGGGCGAATGAATTAGGGAAGGGAATTAAACAGGTGATTCATTACAAAGCTCTCTTCTGGATGATAAAACCCCTGTGTGAGTGAATTAGGGAAGGAAATTAAACAGGTGATTCGCTATAAAGTTCTCTTAGGGAGCTTTGTAGTAAATCACCTGTTTTGATCAAAGCTCCCTTCTAGTTTTGATCCCTTTGTGAGTTCACTAAAAGACTGCAAAGGTTGTGGCTGAGGATGATCAAACTCTCAAAGTCTATAATGACTATGGAATGGGTGGAAGAGGTCTCTATCAAGGTGGAGGTAGAAGCTGGAATAAGGAGTATGTTGAGTGCTTCAAGTACCATAAGTTGTGGGTACTTTAAATATGAATGCCCTTAGTGGTACAGTAATCAAGAGGCTCACTATACAAGTTCCAGTCATGTTCAGGATAAGACCTATGCAGACATGAATGAAAACATGTTGTTAATGGCAAGTGTTGAGTTTAAAGACTCGATTGAGTGGGAAGATAAAACACAAGGTCTAATGGCTCTTTCTGAAGCTATTATGGAAGATACAAGTGGTGACTGGTGGTTTTTATATTCTGGCTGTAGCAACTACATGAGTGGTGTGAGAGGACGTGGTTACCAACATTGACCCAAGCTTTGTCTGCAATGTAAGGTGACATATGTAATCTTTCTACATAAGAAGGGCGCGTGAGATTCAAAAGATCTGGAGATTGTATCATGTACACTTCCTAAATTAGGATGCCATGGACGAAGGCATTACTGAGATTGAGGAGATGAACCATCCACGCGAGGTAATAATAGCAATTTGAGAGTATTAGATAGATACAAATATCAATCAGAGTTAGTCGACCAACGATTGCGGGAAGTTTTCTTTTTTCCAAATGGCTAGGCACTTGTCGATAACGAAGTTTCATATAATGTTTCCAAAAGCGCCCATTGGGACAACCCTCGTTGCCAAAAAGCACCTTTTAGGTC